GAGATTATTGTCCAGTGACCATCTATCTACACATTCTGACCCTCACCCTTGAGTTTCCCTGTAATACCCAGGACAACACTTCCCACACAGAGGGAATGGTTACTGACTCAATGACCTCGAGCTGGAATTTTCCAATCACAAGATTCATGACAGATAAAGGTGCAGCACATGACAGAGAGAAGGCCGGCTGGGCTGTGGACCAGATAGAGACATAGGAGGGCCTGAGACAGGGGAGTGAGCCTAAGTCACACCACGAGCCTAAGTCACGCCACAGACCTGTCATGCTGGGGGCCCAGCCCTTTCTAGAGGCAGGGACTACTCCTCCCTAATGTATTCTACCTAAATTCCTCTGTTTGACATATGAAAACTCCATCTAATATGCTCAGTGTTCAAAAGCTGTTTCTGGGGCCTACCGGACATTTTCACGTGTACAATTCACTAACGGGCATCTGATTTGATTCCCAAACAGCCCTATGAGGGAATCTCCAATTCAGAGATGAAGAAACAGAGCCTCAGAGTCAGCAATTTGCCTGACATTACTGGACTTGTCAGTGGTGGAACAGGACTCGAAACTAGGTCTGCTCCAAGTCCAGTCCACAACACACCCAGCCCTGTGCTATTCCCATGCTGGGTGGGAATCCTGGAAGGACCAGAACTGAGTTGGGGGATAGAGGGAGTGGAAAAGAAGGTCCTAAACACAGGCTCACTGAAGGAGGCTCTAATAAAAGTTATCATTTTTCACTTATCAGATGAGCAAATATCCAAAAGTCTGAAAACACCTTCTGCTGGCAAGGCTGAGAGAACACAGGTATATTCCTGTTGGAATGAAAATTACAAATTAATTTATCCTTTAGCACAGCAATTTTGCTTCTGGAATTTACTAAACAGAGACACTTGCATAGAACTAAAAGACCACATACACAGGTTATTTATGGAAACACTGAACTCCAATGTCCATTAAATACAGGGCTGATTAAGTAAACTGAGGTGCATTCACACAATGGAACAATATGCAATACAAAAAAAAAGAATGAAGAAGCTCTGATATGAAAAGATTTCCCCCAAAATAAGATACAAGAGTGCATATATACTGCCTTTTGTGGAAAAGTGGGTTGGGGGGGTAAGAAATAAGGAAGAAATTTTAAAAAATCTATATATTGGTATCTGTTGTGGATGCACTTAGAAACTTTGCAAGAACATGCAGGAAATTAATTGTTATGGTCACGAGGGTGGTGGGGGAAGAAGAGGGTGGGTGGGAGACAGGGCTGGGAAAGACTTTTCACTGTGTATGTTTTAGATTTTTTTAAACCGTAAATATAGATTATGGAAAAATTAATTTTTACTAAGGCTGTGGGATGAAGGCTCTGCCCCAGGCTCCCTTTCCTGTCGGGTTAGTCTGCCCCATGTAGTCCTCACACACTCGCCTGGCCCACCTGCCCACCACCTCCCCCATGCAGCACTCAGGCTGTGTGTCTTCCAGGAGGTCTTCCGCCAGGTCATACCCTTACGAGTTATGCTTCGTATCTGTTGGAAGTTGTAACTACGCTTTAAACTATTAGTTTCCTTCCCTCTAAATGAAGGAGACAGTAATGTTTTGCACTGAGCCTCACAGAAACTTAGTGACTTGTTAAAGGGGCAGGGCTGCAGCTTAGACCAGCTCCGAGCCCTTCTAAATTCATTTTCCCCGCTGTGCTGCGTTGCCTGTTACAGCTCCCAGCAACTCCACTCCCTGCAGAAGAGTGATGATGTCTCCTCTGGCTTTCTTTATCTCCCAATAGGGTTCAGTGACAGACAATCACCCGCTACAGGAAGGAAGGGAGAAGAAAGGAAAGGAAGGGAGAAGCGAGGGTGGGAAGGGGTGAGGGAGGGACACTTACTCTTGCAGAGACTGGTCCGAATCATGGGCATTTGCTGTGCCCAGGTCTGAGTTGTAGGACATGGGCTCCTCAGAATGGTCTGGACTCTTGGAGCCATTCTCTTGGAGTAGGCAGCTATCAGAGTTTAGGCTGCAGGACAGCTGGGACGAACTGGCCGTGTCCAGGCTGAGGGAGGAGGCAGTGAGCTTCCTGTTCCGCCGGATCTTATGGCCTGAGTGCTGGACTTCGATGTCCTCCGAGCTTGAGGAATGGGAAATTGAATCCAGAGACTCCTTCCGCTGTAGTTCTGCACCAGAGGTAGAGAGAGGGTCGAGCTCAGACAGTGGGCAAAGCCCAGAGAGGGCCAATGGGGTGAGTGTCCACTCATTTAAGATGGCGGACTTGTAGGAGAGTTCAAAGGACAAGGATGTTAGTCCCTGCAGGAAGCTAAGGAGAAACTCGCCCTCCTCGGCGTCTCGAAGCAGGGCTGTAGGCTGATAGTACTCGCACAGTTGGGCCTGCTCCTGGAGGAGCAGCTTCAGGTAGCACTCCATCAGGCCATCGTTGAGGGCCAGCCGCAGCCATGCCCGGCAACGGCCCACATCCGTGTTGACAAAGATCAGATGCTCCAACTCCGAGATGATGTGTCTGGGAAAGGGAGAACACACTCGTTTCAAGAAACTACCTCATGGCCAGGAGCGGTGGCTCACGCCTGTAATCCTAGCACTTTGGGAGGCCGAGGCAGGAGGATCGTTTGAGCTCAGGAGTTTGAAACCAGCCTGAGCAAGAGTGAGACCCCATCTCTACTAAAAAAAAATAGAAAGAAATTAGCTGGACAACTAAAAATATATATAGAAAAAATTAGCCGGGCATGGTGGCACATGCCTGTAGTCCCAGCTACTTAGGAGGCTGAGGCAGAAGGACTGCTTGAGCCCAGGAGTTTGAGGTTGCTGTGAGCTAGGCTGATGCTGCGGCACTCTAGCCCGGGCAATGGAGCAAGACTCTGTCTCAAACAAAACAAAAAACTACCTCACATCTATAACCAGTCAGTACCAAGGAAAAAAAAAAAAAGGAAAAAAGAAAAAATAAACTACATTATATCATTGAGATGTCCTTTTATCCACTGGTTAGCAAGAACCAAGAATAACTATTGCAAATGTATATAGGCATGAAAAATTCATGTGTAATAGTGTTTGAAGAGGAATACAGAAATACTAAGCTATAACCCCAATTTTTTGAGGATGGTATCACAAAGGATAACTGCCATGTTCACTACACCCGAAATCATCTGCTCATTCAGGGCATGTTTGCAGAGCTCCCTAAGGGCAAGGTCCTTAGAGTGTGAAGATCCAGGGTACAGATGTGGTCCCTGCCCTCAGTCCAGGGAACTGCCTTTCAAGGGCATACTCAGGCCCTTTCATTGGTAGAGCAGAGGTGGGGGGCTGGGCAATCGCTTCTCGGTTGGAGTAAGAAAAATGCCATAGAAAGGGCAGTATGTGAGCCAGGCCCTGAAAAAGGTCAAGAGGCAGAGATAGAAGGAGAACCTTCTAGTCACAAGGGACTGACAAAGGCATAAAGGGGAGGAAACCAACAGCCCTGTAAGAGGAGTGAGAAGCACTCCAATTACTACTCATGGAGGAAGAGGGGCATCGGGTAGCAAAGCCAGGTAAGGGAGGGCCTTTCATGTCAAGCTGGGACGACCTGGGACAGTAGTTGCCACACTGGGCTGCGCATTAGAATCCCTGGGGAACTTGAGCGGGATACAGATTCTGGGGCCCCAACTTGGTCAGTCAGACTCCATGTGAGCATCTGGGGGCCCGTGGGTGACAGGTTTTCACACAGGAAAGTGACTTGATTGCAACTGGGTGGACTGCAGGGTGGATGCTCTGGATGAGAAGGTCAGACCACAGGTGTACCAGACTCAGTTCCTGCATTCCCCAGTCTGATGTCAATGCCCTTCTCAGCTACCACAGCCCCCTGTGCACGTCTCCCTGTGAGGGAGCTCCAGGTGAATGTTGATCAGAGGATGGATTTAAGGAAAGATAGAGTGAGATAAGGGGGACAATTAGAAAGCCACTGTCACCCAGGAGAGAGGTAAGAACCTGAGATAGGGCAGAAGAAATAGGCATGGAAAAGAAGATCAGAGATTGACAAGGAACCTTCAGGCTGGAGGTGACATTAAATAGCCCTTAGAGGCACAGTGCCAGCTGTTTGCTCAAAGGCACAGGCAGTTAGGGGCAAGGTCAAAAAGATAAGCGTCTCAGGGTTAAATATTCAGATGCTCTGCCTGGGTTCCACTCTTTTATAAAAATAACCGCATACCTCGTTACGGATATAATATTTACAATACAGATGTTCAAATATTCTAAGACAGGATCAGTAAACTTTTTCTGTAAAGGGCCAGAGAGTAATACTTTAGGCTTTGCAGGCTACACTACCTCTGGTGCAATTACCTAACTCTGCCATGGCGTGGCTAAAAAGACTGCTCCCACTAAAGACGACCAGCCCCGGAGCTCAAAGCAGCCACAGGCTCTTGCCCGATGGCCGAGGGTCTCAAGGGCTCCTGGCACACTGGCTGGGAAGCTTTGTCTAGAGATGAACCTTTCTATGAGACACTCTCCCCACTGCTATCCCACCTCACACTAGTGCTACACTGGAACACAGGGCATCTTTGCTGGCTTTCCGAGCACAGCTGGAAAGGAAGAGCCTAGTGTCCCACACTATGAAGCTCCTCCACGAAGCAAAACCTTCCCAGCTGATCTCACTTGTGGGTGACAGCTTTCAGAAGCGGCCAGAAGACAGGCTGAGGCAGAGGCTTCTGGTGGGCACTTTTCTTCCTTTTTCCTCCAGCCTCCGCTCGGATGTGCTTGGCATGCAGGCCGTGGATAAACACGGCCTCCAGGGCACTGCACATGGTGTTGGCATCTCCGTCTTCACTAGTGACCACTGTGTCCAGGGACACGTACTGCTTCTGCAATGCCTTCACGGATCCCACCAGCTTCTTCTTGATGACCTAGGCAGAGCCGAACAGAACACAGGCCTTTAGGGGGAAATCCTATGGCGAGCCCTTGGAATGTAACTCTCTGCTGCTAAATACATGTGCAACCCCATGCACACATACCTATGTACGTACCTATAGGTTTTACCTACAGGTAAAATTAGCACACGCTAATTATAGCAAATACAGATGAAGCACAGAGAACAAAAGGAAAATCACACACTGGTCAGAGATAACTGCTGTCCTTGTTTCGCATATCCTTCACCGTGGATCCTTTTCATTTTCTAAACTGAACTTGAGTGAACCTACAGCCATATAATCTCGTGTTTAAATATCGACTCCATTATGGTTACGGCAATGGAGCCTCGGCAAATCCACCCGGGACAGGGGTGAGGCTTCCCACCTTATTTACATGACCAAGATTCTGCAGAGACTCAATAAGCTAAGAGGGAAAAAGTGCTGTTCTAGGACAATAAAAACATCAAGAAAATGAGCATGGTCTACATTAAAAAAGATCCTAGGCCTGGGAGCCAGAGGCTGAGGTTTAGTCCCAGCTGTCAGTAACCAGCTGGGTCTCCTCAGACATTTCACTTAACCTCTCTGAGCCTCAATTTCCTCATCTGTTAAGTGGAAATAATACTTTCTGATCTACAGCACCAGGGGCACCACTCCCTTAGGGCAGGACTAGTTTTTTATTCATCCTCATGTCAACATCTGGCACTGTGCCTGGCACATACAAGTACTCAGTAAATGTTTGTTAAATAAATATATTACACATTGTACATAAAGTCTTTTGGAAATAGAGAGTAAAAATTGTTTGGTCATAATTATAAGTATGTCAAAATCACACAAGTGTCTGGAAAAGTACTGGAAGGGATTGCAGAAAAACTGGTTTGAATTATTGGGTTATAGGATTATTGATAAAATATTTTACTCTTTCATTTTGATTTTAGCCAAAACATTAAATGTTAATATTCTTTGAGAAGTTACATTTAAAAAATTAATAACTTTAATGAGATATTATCTATACACCATAAAATTTATCCATTTAAAGTAAAGTATATAGTTCAATTGTTTTTAGTACAGTCACAGAATTGTGCAACCATCACCACTACCTAATTTTAGAAGATTTTCACCAGCCCGAAAAGAAACACTATATTAGTGATTACCAGGGGCTAGGAGAGAGGGGAAGAGGGAATGACTACAGTTACTAATCTACTTTCTGTCTTTACAGATTTGTCTATTCTAGATATTACGTATGATTAGATATAAATATAACATGTGACCTAAATATAACATGTAGCTTCTTTCCTTTAGTGTAACGTATTCAAGATTCATCCATGTTGTGGCATGAATCATTCCTTTTTATTTCCAAATAATATTCCTTTGTATAGATATACCACATTTTATTTATCTATCCATCAGTTAATAGATGTTTGGGTTGTTTCTACTCTTTGATTATTATGAATAATGCTGCCATGAACATTCATGTATAAGTTTTTGCGTTGACTTATGTTTCCAGTTCTTTTGCCTATATACCTAGGAGTGGAAGTGCATATGTAATCTTATGTTTAACTTCTCCAGAAAACTGCCAAACTGTTTTCCAAAGTGGCTATAGTATTTAACATTCCCACAAGCAACATATAAAAGTGCTAATTTCTCCACATTTTTGCCAACACTAATTATTATCTTTTTTAAATTTTTAAAATTTTTTTAAGAGACAGGGTCTCACTCCCTCATCCAGGCTGGAGTGCAGTGATGCAAACATAGCTCACTGTAGCCTCCAACTCCTAGCCTCAAACGATCCTCCTGCCTCAGTCTCCCAAGTAGCTGGGACTACAGGGTGCATCATCACACCCAGCTAATTTTTCTTATTTTTTGTAGATACTGGCTATGTTCCCCAGGCTGGTCTCAAACCTCTGGCCTCAAGCAATCCTCCTGCCTTTCCCTCTGAAAGTGCTGGGATTACAGGCCTGAGGGTCAGGCCAGTCTGTCTTTTTGATTGTAGCCATCCTAGTGGGTGTGGAGTAGTATCTCCTTGTGGCTTTGATTTGCATTTCCCTGATACGTAATCATAATGAGTATCTTTTCATGTACTTATTGGCCATTTGCATATCTTCTTTGGAGAAATGTCTATCCAGATCCTTTATTCATTTTATAATTTGATTATGTGTCTCTTTATTGTTGAGTTATAAGAGTTTTTTTTTTTTATTTCAGCATATTATGGGGGTACAGATGTTTAGGTTATGTATGTTGCCCTTGTATAAGAGTTCTTTATAACTTCTGGATGCTAGACCCTTATCAGATACATGATTTGCAAATATCTTCTCTCATTCTTGTCTTTTCACTTTCTTGATACTGTCCTCTGAAGGACAAAAGTTTTAATCTTGAAGAAGTCCAATTTTAAATGTTTTTTTAAATGCAAGATATTATTAGCATATTATATAAAAAGTACATACACTTCATTCAACTGAGCATCTACTAGGTGTTGGGTTAGGTATGCAGAGACAAATAAAGCATACCCACATGAAACTCACACCCTCACACTGTCAGCTGGCGAAGCCCTCATTAGAAGGCTCACCTGGCCCAGGGCTCTGTCCCAGTTCAGATGGGTCCTGGGGTGGGATGGGGAATACAGCGTCGGGGAGGTGGGCTTTGCGTGAAAGCCAGCTAGGAGACAGGTGGAGATGGACTCTCCACTGGCCAGGAGTGAGGAAGGCACATCTCTGAGGGCTCTGCAATTCCTTTCAAGTAGAAAGTTCTCTGACTTGGGGAACAGCAGTGGGGAAGAAAGAGAAATCCTGGTTTCTCTCCAAAAGCCACTTCAGGATTCCATTGAGGAACCAGCCCCAAATCTACCTGACCTTCCGCCTCTCTGAAGGAACTGACAGAGCTCTGTCCACAGAGTGAGACAGCCCAGGGCCCAGTGGGGTGCAAAGGGCTCTCCAATTGAGGGGATCCAAGGGGGCTCTAGTGAACTGGCCACAAACAATTGTGTTTGGCAAATCCTGGAAAATGGTAAATGTTCAGATACATATAAGCTACCAACTTACCCTGTTACTGAAACAACAAACCGGTGCCTGAGAATATTTGTATCTGACCAGTTCAAAGCATTGGCCACACTGGGACCTAAAGGCAGAGGGCTGGAAGTCTGAATGGAAATCCTCCAGCTTCAGGTAATCTATCTTAAATCCTCATTGTTTTTTTTTATAAAGTCCTATTTTATTACCAAAAAGATGATCTAGAAAGGGGAGGATCTCCTTGGAGCCTGCTTCTGCTATAACTTTCTCTCAACCTCTCTTTTTGGACAGCGGTCAGTGAGACAAACTGATGCAATGGCTGCCCCCTGCAGCCCTTCCCCACCCGTGCTTCTCCCCTGCCCACCTACCGGGATGGCAGCCCGGGGGTCCAGTCCATTCTCCACCACTGAGAGCATTTCCACTCATGCAGCAGCTCCTGTGGAGAGTCACATGACACCTGCAGAGACAGATGGTAGCCAGATGAGCAAGCCCCCAGCTGCCAGAGTCCTTTCCCAGCAGGAGGCCAGCCCCTCTTATGCAAACTGTAACGGAAAGGCCTTTAAGGAATATAAAAGTAAAAATTGACGGGTTGATTTTAAGGAAGGAAATAGGGAAGGAAGCCATGTCAGAGGTTTCAGTCCTTGGGAGGTGAGGGGCTTGGGTGTGGTGAGTGAGTCCACCTCAAAAAGTTGGGGGTGAGGGCTCTTCACTTCACACCAAAAGCTGCACAGAAAGCCAGGGCCCTGTGGGGTCAGGGTTCGGGGAAAGAGAGGTTGATCAGAGGGAATGCTCAGGGTGCAAGGGGGATGTGGCGGACGGAGGTGCCAATAACCTGCTGGGGTTCACAAGTCACATTCAGGGCCTGGGCCCAGCAACACCCTGCCCCCTGCCACCTACTCCTGCCCCAGCCCAACCGCCAGCTCAACCGTGAAAAGTACAACTGGAACAGCTTCAAAAGGGAAGGGCTCTCTTGCCACACTTCTGGTTCTCCTTTGGGCTCCGAGAGTCTGGCTTGAGTAGCACTGGGACATGTCTAAATGGGACCACCGTGGGTTTTAATCATAATTTGCCACTAACCAGGTAGGCAGCTCAGGTGTGGTATCAGACCTCTCAGATGGGGAGTCTAAATGTGTAAAACACCTGCCACAGGGCAACATGTACCAGGTATAAATGGTATTTGTAATCCGAGTGGATGTGGCCACCCAAATCTATAGGCAAAGAATGCTACTATCTAAAAGAGCATGCAGGAATAGTTGAAGTCCGTTAAATCTTTCAGGGAAGCTGGCTTCCTCCTGGGAGTGGTTGGGTGGGGACTTTTTTTTTTTTTTTTTTTTT